CACTTTTTGTTAAAACTGCTTCAAAATTAGCATTTTCAGTGTGGGTGTGTATTTATGCTGTAGAGCAAAATTCAAGTATCATCAAGGTCCTCCTTTTACTCATATATTGAAAAATCCCAATATAAAAACCCATAGAAAAATCTTGAGGGAATCCATTGTGAATTAATCTTCTGGGTTTTTGACATCACGGCTCCAGCACTCAACGCCAATTATGACAATTTCACATTTTTCTTCGTTTTATTAAACCACCTCTTTCAAAGTACAACCGGCATATAGTCAATGACTTTATCAAATCTCACAAATTCTAATTTTATTAATCACTCTAAGCAGATAAACATGGCTTGCAGTTCAGACCCTTCAATATGAGCAACAATGAGCCCTTTATAGTAAAGATATGGGTGTGCAACCAAGATTAACAGGGTTTTTCAACAGATATCACTGTCATGAATCACTAGACTCATGATGTGCGCCTAAGGGAACATGCCTTCAGCATTGTGTAGGACCGGATAAGGAGTCTCCTGCCAGAGTAGCGACAATGTACACCTTCATTGTGTCAATAGATTGAGAAGATACAGGAGATTGCTTCACAGGCTTCATCTTGATAATAGAAGTCACTGCCTTCAGGATCTGACCATTCTGGTTTCTGTTATTTCTTCTGTTGAACTTCTGCGCTACTCTTTTGCTTAGTTTTTGTGCACATAATGAAAATCAATGGGGTCCAAAATGTCACTGGAGCCCATTAACTTCCATTGTATTGACTGGGACATTCAGCAAAATATCTATGTGTTCCACAGAAACAAAGAAATTCATACAGTTCTGGAATGACACGAGGATGAATAAATTCTGGCCTAATTTGTTTTTCTTAGAACCATCCCTTTAAGCACTAACTGAGCTTGAACTAAAGCCTGACATCAACAGATCAACAGACAGCGATACCTCTAAACTTTAAACGTTTGGATTGGTTTATCTCTTTAGAGTCTAAAGAGATAAACCAATCCAAACGTGGCACAATGAATAAGTGCATTACTCTGTCTGCATGCTTCACTAATCTTCAAAATGTGTACGTAGACAACACAGCACGTAGACAGTCCAAGAAATGGGTAATCCATTGGAATGAAGTACACATTGCCCAATAGGTTTATTCTGAATGGGGCAGGCATTATGTCAATGGACACTAGCCTGATTGTGGAGATCAATGACCAATAAACTGCATGTGGAGACCTCAACACAAACTAGATGAAGAAAATGTGCTAGACAGGTTGTGTGTCCAAGTAATAAAACATGTTGCAAGAATTCTAGATTATTATACCAATCATTATTACAAAGCCTGACAAAATTCCATAAACACATATTCCTTTTGCTAACTTCCAAATATTTCACACAGCAGACCAGAGTGACATCTCAATTTGATGTGCTGCTTTGAAGTTCTTCAGGGGCACTGGCATGGTTTTGACATGAAACAGGACGTCCTGGTATTCCCAGCATGTGCTTGAAGCCACGGTGGAACAGCATTTACAAGAAAAACAGTTCTTTGAGTTTGAACTTTACTACAAGCCTTTCTTCATCTTGGATCTGATTTATGGTGAACGCTTGGGTACTGACTGTCTGTGGAAACCTGAATGTTGGCTTGTCAAATAAATCTAAGTTTAGTTAAAGTGTCCCTATTGTGCCATTTTGAATATTTCCTTTCATGCAGTGCGTAATGTAGCTGTATAATATAATGGAATAGAGTTATGGGATTTAATAAATCAAATCAAGAAATCGATGTGTGCGAAATCAAGTCGCTGGGATATGGTAAGCAAATGTTTCATTTGTCTTCTATGGATATTGACTGTTCGTCAGCGTGTGATTTTGAATAGCAGGCCATTCCTGTGAAACACACGCAGAAAAAGGCAGGTAACCACCTACAAGCCAAAAAGCCTGTTGCCATGGCGGCCAGTCACTGCCAATGATATCGGCTCATACTGGGGTTTACACATAAGGAAGCAGAGGAAGTAATAATAATGACTGTTCACAAAAGCTGATGCTGGAGAGAGCAGATTACATCCTGCTGACATTTGTGACAGAATGAGGTTGTATGATTATGAAAGCAGGTGTGTTGAGTCTGGAATGGAGATCATGGCCTGTCCAAAGAAATACAATAGATTTAGACTAACTGGCGAAATTCGAATTTTTTTTGACAGCCCTAACACACATGCAGAATTGCACGCGTGCTACTGTGGTAATTTTATTTTATTTTTTCTAAAAAATTGTATCAAGGTCAATAGGTCTCATCAAATGATTTGACATTTTATGAAAACGTAGGGTTAGTCTATAGTCGAGGTTGTGGTGTGACTTCCCCCCCCAAAATATTTTTGAATATTTATTAAATAATTAATATTCATGTCAAATAGATTACAATTTACAAACAATGAGAGAGTTGCCATGATTTATATACAGCATTTCTTATTTTTCCATCTATTCAACCACTACAGAGTGAACTTAGGAGCAGCAAAGATCAGGTGACGTGCTAAAGGACAAATATTTTTGTCACACTCGTATCATGTTCTCTGGTTCCTTGTCATCTTAACCCATACATTCTTCTCACGCATTCCACTCAGCCGATTAAGAAAACCCATCCATTAGAAACACATGCTGTGTTCCAGGGTCACGACCCCATAACTGTCTGTTTCCCTCACTGTAGGATCCCAGAGAAAAGTGGTCGTTTCCTCTAACTATAGTGACCATACAGAAAATATACTGTTGTGCCACTCAGTGAAAGCATTTGAGAGTCTGTCTAAAAGGCCATGACTTGTTTGGAATCTTCTGAGCTTGTTTTGACACAGTGCTGAGTGTGCTGTCAGGTGTAACAACAGCATGAATTAAGTTTGTCAGAACGGTTTACTCAATTCACCCTCTGAGACAATCCTGATTTTGTTGTTTGACGGCTCTGTTTTAATCCACAGAGGAAGTAATGAGGCTTATTGTAAACCAGCCACAAGCATCAGAGTGAAACCTTGAACTTTGTGGGACACTGTGTGTAAACGTGCACATTTCTGTGAAAGGCAGCTGTGACAGGAGTCGTCACATGCCTGTTCTACAACATTGTCAAAGAAGAGGCCGCTGGCGGTCATGGGGTAAGACTGAATGAAGGGTATTGTGACAGGTGTGCGAATGACTTCACTTTTGAGTTTGTGAAAAGGCAGCCTGTGGTGCAAAACTGTTTGCCACATGCTGTTGCACTTACATTCACTGACAAAGCTTTCTTGAAAACACATACACAAAAGCAGACCTCACAATAGAGGGCCACTCTTCAACAGTTGGGGTGGGAATATTTAGGCACATCACGATCCGATCCGATTCAGGGAATCATGGAAGGTAAAACACTGAAATACATAGGGCTGCCCCCAACTCAAGATTTTTCTAGTTAACTAGTCTCTTATTCACGCCATTAGTTGACTAAACACACATTTATATTATATTACTTACAAATACTACTGTGTTTTCTGAGTCAGTGTGGGCTGCAAAGATGAAGTTGACGACGCTGACGCGCCATCTCTGCAGTACAGCGCATCGCCTTTAGAGAGAAATGCACCTTTATTATGGATTACATAATGAGAGAATTTTTGTTTTTGATTTGAATTGGTTCATTTAAAAGTAGACATTTCCGTTAACAATCTGTCCATCACGGACATAGTCAGTTCTTTTTTTTTTCTGCAACTAACCGACTAATACAATTCTGATCAACTAAGCCTCTTCTTGTCGACTAACATTTAGTCGAACATTAGGGTGGCAGCCCTAGAAATACACAGTTTATTATAAATACACAATTTATCTTACACACCTGCATGCTTGAAGAACATACTTCATCAACGGTCTAGACAGGGGTTTTTCATTTAATTGAAGGAATGCTATAAAAGAATAGGAATTCAGACGCAACACTGTCCCACCTAGATGCCTGTATTTCAATCAGCCGATTGTACTTTATGCAATAATCTCCTTTGTGCAGTATGTACTGCAGCCACACCTGATTCCCCTTAATACTCCGCTCTGACTTGTCCTGATCCTGCCTGCAGGTTGAAGCATGTAGAAACTATGTCTACACCTCCACCTTTCCTAAAGCTGACAGCCTGCTTGAATGAATGAGATCATTTTGGTTCCTGCCTCCTACTCTCAGTCTCCACGTCCCAGTTTCGCAGTGTTATACAACAGCAGCCCGGCTGTCCATCAGCATGTCCACATACACACTGCCAGTTCTATTCTGTTCGTTATTTGGCTGGAGTGACTCAGTGGAGGATCATGTTTTGTGTGAAACTGAGTATTCCTCCAGGAGTTGACCGTTTCTGTAGATGCTCCAGTAACTTTATAACTGCAAATCGTGATTTTTAGAGGAAACTAGACAGAAATTCCTTTGATAGTCTATAGGAAATGTCTAATACTTAATTTAGACAAATGAGTAACTTTATTGTAAGAGGCAAAGCTAAAACTAAATCTTATGAGTGATTGCCACCAAAAGCAGAAATGCTGTCTTTAAAGGTGCCATGTTCAGAATAGAATACTAGCGTACTGCATATTAAGTATACATTGCATACTGCCTGCAATTTTTTAAACAGTATGTGAAAAAAGTTCTTATTAACCAATCATAATCTTTTCAAACAGTAGCATGCTATATTGTCACATATCCTCATCACATTGCATGTTTAATTTTGCTACTAAATTCAGTTTAGTTCAAGTTATTTTACATTTTAGAACTTATTTTGTGTATAATAATCAGAGTAAACGATGAGTAAAATGATTGCATGTTAGTATGTTTTGCTAACTTTATTCAGCTCTTAAAACAATAGCCTCTCTGCTGCCCCCACCAGGTCTGGAGCTGGCATGCCGTTTACGTGACTTTACCACAGACTGAATAGTGCACAAGGGCCAGTTCCAATACCTAAACTTGTGGCATGCGACAGGAAGTAAATGCACAAGACAGTCCTGGGACTGCTAAATGTCTAAGCTCAGTGACCTTGATGCACAATAAATCCTAACTATATAGGTGCATCCCAAATCTTACATGTACTTATGCGCTATTTTATGTCATTTTGTAGTATAAATAGTGTGATCAGTGCATTCACACTGAAAATTCCAGAAAGAAAAAAAGTGGACTTTAAATACTCGGATGATGCACTTAAATAACCGAAGAAAAAAAAAAACAAAGCGTGGAATGTTGGACACTTCATGCACCTAATTGACCCTTTGCCAGGAGTTTGATTGACAGGCAATCTAACCAATCATAACAGCGAATCTGCCCTTTTTTTCCGACTAACAAACCAGACAGGAGAGTAGATTAACGTCGGCAGACTTGAACTTGAAAATGGTGTGTCTTGATGTTCATTCATGTTTATTTTGTGCTATAACTAGTAAAGAGGAAAAGATGATCGGTTCACATGCTGCTTGAACTGAGGCGCTACAGTGATCTGACACGCATTAAAGAGCCACAAAATGGTATTTGAATGGTTTGAATTTGGTTTGAATTTTTTTTTTAAATGACCAAATTTAAAAGCTGATACTTGTTTCATACCAAAAGTAACCTGTTCCGTCTTGTCTGTCAGTGTGTTGTCAGTGTCTTCTTTGCCCGTGATGTATTTTTCACTGCGTGAGAACCTGATGTGTGGCATGAGAGCGCCAGGGCTTGTCAGACGTAGCAACAGTAACTCAGGAATTCACAAGATGTTGCAGGAAAGCTTTCCAGTTTCATTTAAATTAATTAGATAGTGCATATAATTTGGTAGTAGAAACGTAGTGTTGCATATTTTATTAGTGCAGAGATAAGTGTGTGCACTTTAAATGTTTTAATTACTTAATTAAAAGCTCCACAATTACTTAATTTTGTTGTCTGTTACATAGGAGCTACTAAACAGAATTGCAGAAGTTTATATAAAAAAATTTATGAAGCTCTTTAAATACTGTAAATACTACAAGTGTGTCACATTGAGTAATCCTGAAATACATCATGCAAGTAGACAAGTGGTCAAGTGCAAAGACCACAAGCAAGGGCACTGGGACGGGCTCATACTCTGGAAAAAGTAGAGACTAAGGCTGCACGATTAATCGAATGCGATTGTCATGCGCATTTTGTTAGTAAAGCCGGTTCTGTACTCAGCAGGAAATCATCATCACGTGCTTTCTTGATGCACAGTGTTTTTTTTTCCTTTTGTTAATCTGTTAATTATATTATAGCCTAAATATTATATAAATATTATTAAAAAAATTATATTATAGCCATATAAAGCTAAAGCCCTGTACTAAAAAAAAAAAAAAGACATTCTAATCGTACTGGTTAACGATCGACTAATGAGCTTTGTTTGACGGTCAGGAAAAGAAAAATGAACAAAATGCTGTCATTCTCGAATTCTCCACCAGATGCGCGCAAGTACATGAGCTGAGACCAGACGTGAGATTTGATCGTAGCCACCACTCATGTCCATATTGATCAATTCCAAGTTTTGCGTTGAAACGACCGTACGCCCAATTTTCGTACGTTCGTTTCATAAATGAGGCTCATTATGTTTATGTCCTGTTTAGCACTGTAAAGCTGCTTTAACACAATCTGCATTGTATAAAGCGCTGTATAAATAAAGGTGACTTGATAAATTTATCCATCCATTCTCCAAACCACTTGTCCCATGTAGGGTCATGGAGATAAACAGTCATTTTTCACTCCAATCTGCTCTCTGGCTCTACATGTATAGTCCCTAGAGTGTGTTAGTCCCTAAGCATCAGTGAAGCTAGGAATACTGGATGTCTGCCCAGAACATCAACCCCTTGCAGAGACTCTCTCCCTTGCCCTTCAAAAGTCCTTGATGCCTCAGAGGCACAGAAGGGCAAAGCACTGACAGTTTGCTGGATAAAGGTCTATGTGCATGATGGAGTACTGAATACCATTGCTGTAGAATGACGTTCATGACACCTCAATGTCTGACATAATAGATAACGGATGAACTGAATAGATGGAGAACAAGTCCATTATCTCCAGTGTCCTACTGAACAATCATATATGATGACGGATCAGGCCCACACGACCGGCAAGAGCTGTGACTCACTTCATTAGAATTCATCTGAAGTGAATCTGCCTGCGCTGAAAGCTGCATATGTGCTGACTGAACTACTGAAACCAAGACCCTCAAATATGACTTCAAAAGTCTTTTGAAGCTATAAGATGAATTGACTAAAAATTTTTTATTTATTGATTCAACTGGATGATTCAATCAGTGAGTTAAAATTAAAGAACCACATCAGTCCAATTGGTAAATGAATCACTCAGATGAGTTTTTTTATTTTTTTATTGGGTCAACAGAAAACACACAAACATTGCTATTTTATTCTCATGAATGCTTAAATAAAATTTGAATAACAAATTATTAAATTTCAGTCTGTTCATCACACAGAGTTATTGTATAATCCGGAGTACTTTTACAATTGAGTTGCATGAACCATTTTAATCATATGTTTATGTGATTTTAAGCAATTTAGTTCCTATTCCCTGCAATTATATGGAAGAGCGACTAGAACATTCTTCAGAGTTTCTCATTTTGGGTTCTACAGAATGAATAGAGAAAGTAGAAGAAAACAGGGTTGAAACAACATGAGGGTTTGTAGGCGTCTTTACTTGCTGTTTTCAAATCACTCAGAACTTTATTCTTTGGCTTTTTCAACTTAATATTTTTATATGTTCATGTTTTTATATTATGTTAATGAATATTTTTAAATGCCTGTCATGCATTTTACATTATATTGTGTTGTAATTCACTTTGTTTAGCACTTTGGTCAGCATTGCAGTGTTTAAATGTGCTATATAAGTAAATTTTACTTAATCAATAAAGGCAGAATTTTCATTTTTGAGTGAACTATTCCTTGAAGTCAGTGGTTTGCCACCTTTTTGACTCCAAGTGACTCTGTTGCCCACAACAATATTCAAAGGCCCATGACTTTTCACTCATAATTTGTACCTAATAACTAGAAAAATGTATATGATTTTTTTTTTTAAAGTTGTAAATAGATCAAAGATTGAGTCCATTTTAAAAAGAAAATAGTTTTTCTGTATTTTTAATGCAATGTGTTACCTTTATATATATTTTTAGCAATAGTTAGTAAAATTTACTTGCAATTTCTGAGTGAAAAATTGTTTTTACACCATTTTTTAGTTCATGTAATTAGATTTTTTTTTTTTTACACATGACTTTTCCAGGTCTAGAAATCATCACACGTTTCACATTAGACTACCTCAATGTTTTTCCTAGACAGTGAGAATCCTTATACTTCAAAGAAAAAAAAAATATTGTTGAAAGCATGAATTAAATCAAGAAATATTTTTGTTTGGGGCTTTAAATCATTTTAAGTCATCCCGAGGTCCCCTTTGGAAGTTAGCAGAGGCCCCATACAGTCTCCTGGTTGAGAATCACCGTTTTAAGTCTGTTCTTTTTCTCTGTGACACTTGATAACTAAAATAAACATCTGCTAACAATACTTAGCTTGTTTATTTATTGTAAACGAAACAGACGCCCTGAAAAAAAGTGACTCTGTTGATGGCTATTATGATTAATAATAATGACTACTAAATGACTGTACTCTGATCTCAGAACACAAGGTAAAAGCTTTAGTATCGACGACTCCATTTCATTTTTCTGTAGCTTATTAATGTGCACATCCATCATACACGCAAGACTAATTACAATTACTGTGATAATTAATGTTATTGTAACAGGTGACCGTGTATATTCGTGAATCATGTAAATACCGAGTGTCTCTGCATTATTAATCATGATACTTGGCGTGTAGCACAGCGACGCCCCCCTTCATGGATTCATCAGAACATTATCACTGCATTCGGTTTCATGTGTGATGCTGTTGCATTAGAAGGGACCAAATTAGTCGCATTGATTCAGCACAGGATCCACCAACGTCTGGAACACAATTATACAACAAACCAGCGACACTGAGCTATTGCGGCTAAGGATCCGCGTCCTTAAAAAGCCCTCATTCATTCATTCATTCATTCAACTGGTCCCTCAAGAACACGGCGAATGTTCTCATAACCTAGAAAGACGCCGAGCGAGACGGCATTTTTGGGCGCCTGTGATGCCCCAAAATGCTGTCTATGTAGCCAGCTCACTATGTAGACAATATTGTAATAAATTAAACAGACAAAAAAAAAAGCCCGACCTGATTTTAGACTCATCGTGTTTTAAATTTAAACCAGAGCCTCAAACAAAAATATTGTGTATTTCACAATTAACCCTGAACTGACCATAAACACATCACATCAGAGGTTGTGATCTGTTATATGTGTGTGTTGTTTAAACACACAGCTGTGGAACATGAGTGTGTTCTTACCTGAATCGGGGTGAATCTTTAATACATTCCTCAAAATCCACCGTCATTTTTGCAGTTATTCCGTCTTTCAGTTAAAAATGTAGCATAGCATTGCCGGTGGCTGTAATGCGCCTAAATGTGAAACGCGAGTGTATCCCTTTCCCCGGTAAAACAGTGACACTGTGACACACTGCTACAGATCTGTGTGGATCCGTTTCAGCGCTGTGCGAGCTAAGGGACCGTCATCAAATATGCGGTAGAAGAAAATAAGGGAGCGTCTTTCAAAATGCATCCCACAATTTTACTGTAATAAACCTGTGTGTACATTTGGAATATTTGGTGTCTGTGTGTTTGATCCACCAGCTTATGTTTATTTCAATTATTTTTTATTTCGTTTAACACTTTGCAAGGTCTTATTTGTTAATGCATTAGTTTAGGGCTGCACGATTAATCAAATGCGATTGTCATGCGCATTTTGTTAAAAAAGCCGGTTCTGTAATCAGCAGGAAATCATCAGCACGTACATTAGTTTATGCATTAGCTAGGAACAAACAATAAGATGGAGGTGTAAAGTATTTGGGTAAATGTAATTAGCTACTGTACTTGAGTAGCCTATCTTTTTGGATACTCTGTAGTTTTACTGAGTGTCAAAGATATTAGCAACGTTTACTCTCTACTTCACTACATTTTTGAATAAGTATCTGTACTTTTTTACTGAAAGTACTATATCTTGTGCGTTTTGCTCTTACTCACCCAAACTTGTCAACAAGGCAACTTTAGTTCCTTAGCAAGTAGTTGTGAATCACAGGTGTTTTATATACAAGATATAAGGACATGTCTGCAGCCGACAATGACGCCGAAACCAGCACATTCAGTGCAAGAAGGCCTTATTTTATTTTTTTTTGCAGTTTTGACTTGTTCAGTGTCAGAAAATAAATGTGATTGCTCTCCTCACAAATCAACTCTTTCTTGTTTTTCACTGGCATTCTCTTTGATTAGTGCATCTCTGAGTCCATAATTAGTAGGCTACTTAGCCAAAGTAATATTAAAATCAGATACTCTAAGACTTTTACTCAAGTTGCTTTGGAATTGGTGACTTGTAACTTGTAATAGAGTAATTTTCATTGTAAAATATCTTTTACTCAAGTACAGCATTTAGCAATCTTCATTTTAGTTCATAGTGCATTAACTAATGCTAGCAGATTCAATAGTTCGTTTTAATTTAATTTTAATACATACAATTTTATTAAATGTTGACTTATTAATCATGATGTCTGTAGAAGTACATTGCTAGGTTTATTGCTAGGTTTGATGGGTTTATTCTCCTAAAATATTAATATTAAACAGTGTGTGTGTGTGTGTGTTTATATATATATATATATATATATATATGTGTGTGTGTGTGTGTGTGCATAACTTTATTTTTATATTGAATAACGTGTATTGCATGTATTGCATTAAGTTATTTAATTAATATTAACCCATAATTAAAATGATCGTAACCCTTTTCTACTAAAATAAGCATTCTTTTCAGAACTTTTTGTCCAAGGTTGTTTTCTTCCATATCAATTTTAAAATATTCTACTAGAAATACCGTTGTAAAAATAAATCAACAATAGTCTGCTTCTACATTTGGCAAAACTAACATTTAGTATCAACATCTCTATAAAATGGTTTAACTGTACACTACAAGAGCTTTGAGTTTCGTCCGCCTCCGTCAATCATCATTGCGTCATCCCTACGTCACGCCTCTCCCTGTGGAGGCGGTAGTTTTTGTCGTCCTGCGATACCGCCTTTAAATTTCCAACACATAGCAAATGATTGTTTTCAAATCAAGCTAAACATACTATACATATTAATATTCTTGGTAAATTAAAAAGCTCTAAAAACTGAAATTATGCCTGTTTTAGACAATTTCCACATTTCAACGGCTATTTTTAAAACAGGCATCGCTTTGGCTTCTACATGTGAGACAGCGGCCAGCGGCTGGGTTTTCGTTTCAGGCACTCTCACATGGTTGTTGAACATGACTGGTATTGTACGGCGTTATTAGGCATATACAACAACATATGATGAATATTTATTTATTGACGTAGGATACATCCGCCACTGCTTTTCCAATCCTGTTAACGACTCGCACTGACAAACATTAACCGAATATATCAGGAAACATGCAAAAATCCGCCGCCCGTTATTTAATCTTTTTCCAATATGCAGGGACCAAATATAGGTCTGTCTCCATGACAACCGCACTCACGCTTCCTTCTACTGAGCCGTTATAACGCCACATACATACGGTAACTGTCTGCTTGTCATTTTCTCCTCAGTGGCGTGATGAAAACAGCAGCAGATCAAGCTGTAGAGGGGGTTGAGAATCATCTAGAGGTCAGTCTCTGCCTGACAATTCAAAACAATTGCTGTATCTTTCAAAAATTGTCTCAAATAATTTTTTCCGATATGACTGATGCAATTATTAGGTGGTTTCGGTAAGAAAATGTGTTTTTTTGACACTGAAATCAAACCACTGCACGTGTTTGTTGCTCCAGTTCTCTATTTCACTCATCTGCATCAAATCCTCAGACTCTGGTGCTTCCCTCAAAACATCTGCCATCCTCTTCAGCGCAATATGTCTGCTCGTTAACTTGCATTTCTTTTGGAAATGGCATATAAATATACCGCGGTAAAATCCCTTTGTGTGGTGCTTCTCTGCTGGCAAGACAGGTAGTTGCTCTTTCGGTGGCTTGAATGGTCTCCGTAGAAGTTTTGCCAAGCAAGTTTAGTTAACCCAGTAAAGCCTGGCATATGAAATAAAAGTTTTTTTTTTTTTTTTTACAAAACAGTTTATGTATATGTATAATAATAATAGTGCTGTCTAACGATTAATCGCGATTAATCGCATACAAAAAAGTTTTTGTTTGCATAATATGTGTGTGTTCAGTGTATATTTAATATGTCTATATAAATACACACAGATACAGTATATATTTTTCAAATATTTACATGTATTTATATTCATACAAGTTATATTATAAATAAATGTATTTAATATATAAACATAACATTTTTCTGAAATATATACATGCATGTGTATTTATATATACATAATAAATATACACAGCACACATACATATAATATGTAAACAAACACTTTTATTTTGGATGCGATTAATCAATCTTAATCGTTTGACAGCACTAAATAATAATAATACAGTCATATGTAAAAAATGCATTTTGTGTTTTGTATCATATATTCATACATCAGGCTTTTATTAAAAAAATTTTGTTATAGCAAAGTTGATTATTTAGAGGCCTTGGAAATTCAAGTATGATACTATAGGCTTTATAGGGTTAAAACGACTGCTCAAAGTCAGATTGTATTTGGTTCCTCAAAGCTTATATATAACTATATATTATACAAAACTCCACTAACAGTCTCTTTAAGTATCTCAGATTTTTATTTTTTTTTAAATTCCCACACATTGTTAGTGTTATAATTATGCAAACTGCAATCAACACATATCATATATCATAGCATATCGTGTTTTAGTCAAATAAAAAATCAACATTCCAAAATGACATTTGAGTTAAAGAATTTTACTCAACAGTGATAAACTTCTAAATACCCTATATTTGTTTCTAGAGCCTATGAATATAATGAAGTGAGATAACAAGATCCCTAAACAGGCCTAAAGCATCTGTCATAACCCCTTCCTCTGGTATTTACTGTACTCCACCCTCACAAGAAACTCACTCAACCAGTTGACACCTATAACCTTTCAACAAAAGTGTGACAGGGCTTAAACGGCTCTTGTCTGTTTGTATAAAGGACTTATTATTAGTATCACTTTCCAAGAATTTGTCATTAATGTGATAAGAACTTTGAGGTGTAGTTTGATGCATTGCTGCACCTTGATATTCTTAGTTTGCTTGTCCTGTCATGCCACTCCCGACAGCAACTGAAAACATACACAAACACAAACACAAACTCAAAACAACACAGAATTTAAAGATTACCAAATTAACGTCTGTCTATGTGTGTACCTTTGTGACAGCTCTTTGCTTCACATGAGCTCAGAACAAATACAGCCAGAAGAGAGAAAGAACGTGACTGGGCCTGAATGTGCAATATTATCAGTATGTGCGAGGAGTGAACGGCCTGTTATTGAACACATGTCTCTTGTTTATTCACCTCATCTGCCTGTTTACTGCACTCTCTATGTTAGTAAATAAATAAAAAGACTTTGTTAGATCTAATCAACATCAGAACACATTTGATAAGAATCTAGTGACCTATTTTTGGTAAAGGAATAGTTCATCCAGAAATTAAAACGTACTCATCGTCAGGTCTTCCAAGATGTAAATGAGTTTGTTTCATCATCATTAGAGGAACTTAGCAGTATATCACTTGCTCACCAGTGGATGCTCTGCAGTGAAAGGGTGCCGTCAGAATGAGAGTTCAAACAGCTGATAAAAACATCACAATAATCCACAACACTCCTGTACATCAAAAACATATTGTGAAGTGAGAAGCTGTGTGTTTGTAAGAAACAAATCCATCATTGAGGTGTTTTAACTTTAAACCATCGCTTCTGGTCAAAATGCCAGTCCATAATAACACTTCCTCCAGTGCAAAGATCCATTGGTGAGCAAGTGATGTAATACTAAATTTCTCCAAATCTGTTCCCGTGAAGAACCAACTCATCTTGGATGGCCGAGGGTGAGTAAATTTCCAGCGAATTTTCATTTTGGGTGAACTATTCCTTTAAGAAATCTAAAACAGTAAAAGCATTATGTTTCAAAATGAATGAGAAAAATGAATGCAATTTTGCAAAATTGTGACATCGAGCATGTGAACTCCTTTGTACAAGAGGTCAGATTTTCTGCTTGCATTCAGTCACACAAGGTGTCTTTTGGAATGTTCTCAAATCGTGCTGTTTAAGATGATCATCAGGTTTTACAACAACTTGATTCATGCTGTTTGTTTTTTTATGTGTAGAGTGCTGTGCGGAAACTAAAGCCGGTGAATGAGGTGTCAGTGATGATCTCCAGTAGAACAGACACTGGTGTGCACGCCTTGTGTAACTCTGCACACGTAGATATCCAGCGGAGAGGAGACAAGCCACCACTGCTGGAGCAAGACCTGGTTGATGCCCTGAACTTCCACTTGAAAGCAGAACCTATAAGGTGGGAGGCTTTTACAGGATTTAAAAAGCTGTATGTCTTTGCAC